TTGGCTGCTTAGGGTGAAATGCACTCGTGAGAAAGGACCACAGGGAACAGAAAGTGTTTCATACCCATTATAGTTATATGAGCAGTTCCTGGAAAGCAAAGAAGAGCCAAGTTTAAGAAAGGACAGGATTGAAGTCAGTTAAAGTAAGAGGCATATTACCAAAGGGGATACAAAGAGAACTTTAATCATCCAGTTGACAAAGTTATTAAACCAAAGGCCAGAGAGATAACCCAGTCTAACCACACCCTGAAACCACACAAGTTTACATCCCGAGAATTCCCTTCAAACTTAAGTGAGGAGATAGGCTTATCTAGGGCAGGAAAAATACTACAAGCACTCTGTGATTCATAGAAGTTTAAACTATAGCAATTTCATAATAATGGATATATCCCCAAACTTACTGGCCCATTATGTGGTCAGAAAAGCAGCTTATTAAAAGGACTACATACAGATTTAAAATAAACAGCTCGTTATTCGTTCCAAGCACAAGGAAAGCATCGGGCCAAATTTATGACGATTCTTTATAGCTCTGAGAATTGTTCTAAGTGGAATCATATTTTTATGCATAATATATGAAAACATATATTTTATAAAACTTCATTGGATTTTGTATTTTAACCTCCAAGATGTAGGTTTCTTTCTCCTAAAACTACATTAAAGGAGTATTTTCGATAACAAATGACATCTTTTAAAAGCAGTTCTCTGATTTCAAAACAGACCCGCAGAACTTGGGTGTGCTATAAGGACCCCTGAGTACAACATGGCAGGAAGCACTCAGGGAGTGCTCAGAGCCCCACGTGTCCCTTGATTTACCCAGACTCTCGTTAAATCCCAGATTTTACCTTCATCTTCAGAGACATCCGGGATCTCATCTACTGTCTCAGGGAAACTCATCCAGTGCTTGTCACTGACCAACTAAAATGAGAAAAAGCAGAGAATTCAACCCAAATAGAGCAGTGGGCCCTTTCACCCACCCAGCAGAAACCTGGTCAACACTGTGGAGACAAGAAGGAGGTGGGAAAGAAGATTTGCCCCAAATGAAGAAAATCAGAGCTCTCAGCCTGGAAGCTGATGTCTGACAGGAACAATGGGGATGGTATGAAAGGAAATGCCAGCTTCCCATTGCCTGCCTCAATCCCATTTGCTACTGCCCCCTTAAGTCTGGTCACACCCCCAAATTCTCCTGCCACTAGGTGGCAGTACAATTCCTTCTGATGGAGGAGACCGAACCCCCCTCCCACTCTTCACCCCAACTCCATGCCCTTTGCAGGGGTTCTTTCTCTCAGTTGTCCTAGAACCCCAGAAGATCTCCACCTCTGAGAGTGACCCGAAGGAGTACCCTCTCTGTCAGGCTGTGTGTGTTCGGGGGTGAGGGTGCAGGGGAGAAGCAGACATACCGCAATACTGGGTTCATCAGTGACAACCTTGAGCACGTCTGTTACAGAAATGTAGCCCAAGTGCTTGGCTATTGCCAGAGGTGTGGCTCCATCCTGGGAAAAATCGCAGAGAGAGGGTGAGATCAGACAAGGGAACGGAGTCTGGGAGAAAAGCCCGCCCACTTTACACAGACCAAGCTCACATTCTAAATGTTCAGAAAGGTCTTAAGTGGACAGACTGCATCTTGCAGCCCAGAGCAAGACCCCTGCACGTGTGTGAGCCCAGACGCATGTTAGACGTATGACGGGGGATGGGAGAGAGAAAGGCAGTGATGCTGTAAATCTGTAGCCCTGAGTGTGGGCGCCTTGAAATGAGAGCATTGAAATCTTGCCTGGACAAGTGAAGAACTGCCAAGACGGAACCAACTGGGAAGGAATGGGTTAGGAAGGCACCGAATGTGATTTTAGCTACATGCAGCTACAGGGCAATGCTGTTCACTGCTCTCATCGCCAGTTCTTTGGGTGTCAGTAACTGAGCACTAAAACAGTTAAAGTAATCCATATGTATCAACAAACTCCTTTCAGGCCAATTAGAAATCACAAATCACCGGAAATAGAAGAGGGATATGTTTTCTGCTCTGATTTTAAGAGAAAGAGCGAAGTGACAATAAATTGATATTGACGCTTTTTATTTTAAATTCTCTAGTTCCAGGATGTGCCCGGACCCCATATAGATTCAGCCCCATCTACAGTTATAATTTTAGAAACCACATCTACAACCAAAGGTCTGCACACTTTCTGAGCTGGAAGCAGCCATGGTGATAATCTAGTGAAACCTGCTAAAGACAGCCCTGAGGTCCTGAAACACCATGAACCATGCAAGACATTTGGTTTTATTCATTTGTACCATACTGAAAGCAGCTTCACATGTTTTAGAAACAATTTCAACAATAGTTAAGCAAAAATAAAATGGGGAGAGTGATTGGTACTTGAAAAGATAACCTTCAGTTCACCAGAAAGAGAAATGAATCACAGCGCCCTATGGCCAGCAGGACCCAGGCAGCTGCAGCTTTACAGTCCTGCATCCTGCCCAGGCCCTAGGAGTGCAATGAGGGTCAACTGAGGCTCAGTGGTTAAGGACATCTCACAGGACTGTCCACAAAAGCAGTTTTCTGCAATCAGGAAATGGGTAGGTACTCACCGAGCTGACCTCGTTTGGGGAAGCACCGTTTTTGAGAAGCAGTGTCACGATGTCTGTGTGTCCTTGTTGGGCAGCCTGGTACAAGGGGCTGTATCCTAGCTATAAAACAAGGTAGGCATTTTGGCGGGATTCGTTAGCTCTGATATAAATAAATAACTGCCCACATACTACAGAGACTATTTATCTTCTACATCCAACATAAAAAGTGCATTTTCTCTATTTCCTCTTCCAGGGTCAAAGCTTAAAATTGTGGCATAGCCCCAAGCATGCCCAGTCATTCTGGCTGCATCCTGATTTGGCACTTAAAAAGTGTCAGTATAGGAGTCAGGTCTCAGGCATCCCTGTACCTTAGTCTTGGCATTGACGTTTGCCTGGTGCTGAAGCAGAAACTTCACCAGCTTGATATTTCCATAATGACTGGCCATGTGAAGGGGAGTATAACCCATCTGAAAAGCAAGAAAAGAGAATGGGTGACCAGCAGGGCTTCTGGGCCCACCAAGAGCCACCGTGAGTTATGGCTCATTAAAAGAGAGAATGGATGGGGAAACCCTTCAGAAGGTTGACAGATGCTCTGAGGTATAAGCCGTACTGCCGTGGCCAGTCAGATACCTTTGACCTGGAAAGACACAGGGCTCGATGTCAGACAAGTGAAGTTCGAGATGCCTAGGAAAGAGCCACATGGACATGCAGAGTAGGCAGCTGGAAAACTGACCCTGAGCCCTGTGAAGAACTTAAGGCATAAAGCCTTGGTGATGAGCGAGGTCAGCTAGCATCAGCGTAGAGAGAAAAAGTGGGGCCACACTTGGAGGGAGATCAGAAAAGAAGACTGTGAGGAAGCAGCCAAGAGATGGGAGGAAAACCAGGAGATTCGTGTTACAGAAGCCAAGAGGGTTCTTCCAAGGAAGGAGCAGCAATCAGGCCCTTTGCTGGGAAGTGGGTTCAGATGAGGACAGATGGGGGTATGGAGATCATTTGCTGACCCAGACAAGAGCAGACTTGACTAGACGTTCAACTAGAAAGGTAAAAGCCCACTGTAAAACCCCCCAAAAGGCTGTCTGAGTTACTGAGTGGCAGTGTAACGGAATTTATAGGAACTGGTTATTGCTTGAAATGAGTCGGCTTTAGGTATTTATTTATTTGTGTTTTGGCTGCAAAGGAGCTAATTTTCAAGGAATCTGTTCTGCTGAATATTTTGGTGCTACCTCTTGAGGCCGACAAACCAAAGCCTTCTGAATCGTTTGCCCACCCCCAAGTTCTAACCCACAGTACAGGATCTCTTAGGGCAGGATCCAAAAAGACTAAACTGGGCCCACAAAAGAAGCCTCAAAAGTCCAGAGCATTCTCAGTTTTCAAGCAGATTCCTGTTGAAGCTACAGACGGTTGGCAGTAAAACAGTTTCTAAATCTTTTTCAGTGATATTTCAACACAACGTTGTTGATCAGTGTTCCTGTGGTACCCCGGAACGGGTTGAGGCTGGAAGGGGCGTTACTTTGCGCCTTCCTTTTAATGCAGTTGCCTTATGTTAAAAAGGAATGAAATGCCACTTCTTTCATGAAGGCCCCTTCAAAAGGAAACACTCTCATCCCTTTGCCCTGCGGTTCTCCAGTGCCTCTTGCACACCTGATATCACAGTCGCTTGTCTGTTCCAGCCTCTGACAGTCACCTCCATGCAAATACCTTGAGGCAGATTCTGCTGCTTGTGTTGAATCTGCTTGTGCTGTGCACTCGGTTATCCTCAGCCTCTTCACAGAGCTCCTCGCTCACAGAGAGGTTCAAAGAAAGCTGAATTGAATTTAACCAAATGCTGGAATAAAAGGGGCTAAATTTTTGACTGAATCCTGGGAAGTCTGACATTTTGACACCCTGCTCGTGTAAGACAGGACTTGGAATCATGATTAAACATTCTTCTCAGTTTCTTTCTTACTAGAGACTCAAAGATCTAGCAAAATTCAAAATTCCCAACTGGAAAGTGAGGTAATTAGGATTGGTGTCTTCAAACTCCACTGTCATCCCTAGGAAGTGTCAGGGAAGAATGTGCCACTGGAGCTTTGGGGTTTCAGAGCTCCGTGGAGGAGTCAATTCTGAAGCGTGAGGGAGGCAGGTACTGGGCAGGACCCACAGTGCACACAAGGAGGGAGGGAGGGGAAGCCCACGAGGACAGAACTGCGGCTGCCTGCCTTACCCGCGTGGTGGCATCCACCGTGACACCGTGTTTGATCAGCATGTCTGCCACTGGAAAGTGGCCTTCTTGTGCTACCAGATGGAGAGGCGTGAGTCCACCCTGGAAAGAAAAAGAAGTTCATCATCTTGTAGCCAGTAAAGAGTTCCAGACCACAGTGAAAGAGCACTGATTTCTGGGAGTTGAACCTGGCTCTGCAGCCACCGACCAGCTATTTGACCTTGGACAAAGCTCTTCCAGCTCCTTTTCTTCCACACCCTTATCTGAAAAATGAAGTGGTTAAACTAAATCAGAGGTCAGCAACATTTTCTCTTAATATTTTAGGCTCTTGTCTCTGTTGCAGCCACTCAGCTCTGGAAGTTATAGCGAGAAAGCAGCTACGGCCAATATGTAAACGAATGGGGCATTATTGTGTTCCAAGAAAACTGTATTTACACAAACAAGTGGTGGGCAGGATTTGGTCCACAGGCTTCAGTTTGCTGACCTCTGAACTAGATGAACTTAATGGTACTTTCCAATTATAACATTTCCTACTTCCAAGATTCAAAATGAACTTCAGAGCCCTGGTTTCCTTATCTAGAAAATAGCGATTATCCCTGACTGATCTCAAGGGCAAAGTAAGGATCACTTGAGAAAACACATATGAAAACTTGTTGAAAGGCACCATGTGTCATTTAAATGTAGCGTGTGATTAGATCACAGCCAGCGCTACGCTGTAAAAAGGATGATCTTGCCGAGACTAAAAACACCATATTCTTGGAGTTCTCATCTCAGCTTTCTCATGAGGACAGTAATGCACCAGAAATGTTCTTTGATATGTGTACACTCCCACCAGGATGTCAGAAAAGTCTTCTCTCCTCTGTCTCCAACCTCGGTTCACTTTACTAACTGTGAGAAGAAGAAAGCTGCAATTCCTCTGCACTCAGAGGCAGTGGCCAGGCCCGTCCTTTCCCCAGGGACTCTGCCTGCCCTCCTCCACCTTCTGCACGTTCTGCCAGGCTGACCACAGGACCATGAGCAGTGTCTCTGCCCAGATGAAGCCTGAGCAGACAGGCCATCTCCCTCAGGCCTGTGGGGCTGGCTGAAGCGCGAACAGGCCACAATTAGCGATCCCTCGGTCATCCTAAGCCTCTGCCTGCCTTGCCTGGTTCTTGGGATAACACAGTAATCTGCCCCGTGAGGACTGGGAGCGGATGCGTGAGGATGTCTCCAGAGAATCACTATCACCCTTAAGGCAGATCTTGCTTTAAATGGCACAAGGAAGAAACCAAGAATCCCATCCAATACAATGATCCTACCATAACACTTCTCTCCTAGGAGCCACCCATCCAAAAGCATATAAAAAGAGCTAATGGAGCTACAGGTTTTAAGAAATCTTATTACTCTTAAAATGCTTGTCTTTCTGAAACTGTATTATGTTCCTTTATTATCTAAAGAAGCAGCTCTTCATATTATATGATTCCATTCATATGAAATGTCCAGAATAGGCAAATTCCAGTGACAGAAAATAGATTAGTGGTTGCCAGGGACCAGGGGGTTAAGGGGAAATGGGAAGTGGCCGCTAATGGGTATGAGGTTTCTTTTCGGGGTGATGAACATGTTCTGGAATTAGATAGTGGTATAGTTGCCCAATTCTAAAATATACGAAAAACCACTGAAAAGTACAATTAAAAAGGGTGATTTTTATGGTATGTAAATAATATTTCAATAAAACTATTTTTAAAAAGGAGTGATTCTTAATCTTTCTTGGGCCATACATTCCTTTGAGAAGCTGATGAAAACTCTGAAGACTTCACCCAGAAAAATTCTCACATGCCTATCTTCCCAAAATGTTGTGCTCAATCTTGGAAGTCTTCAGACTCATATGTTAACAGTCCATAGATTGAGAACTCCTAGTTTGATATATAGGTCGGCATTTAAAAAAATGACTTCCCCACAGAATTAGTATCAACTTACTTAATACATTCCTGAATGTAACACTGGCCTATATTTGGGAAAGTGTGCTATGGATTTTAATATTAGCCTTTTTGCAGATTCTTGAGCCAATCTATTTCGAAAGAATAAGGAAAGGTTTTGGCATCAGATAGGCTCGGGATCATGCAATCTTGAGGCAAAAAGCTTCTCTGAATCTGATTTTTAATTTATGAAACTAAGATAAAATCTACATAAGACTGTTGTGAGGATTACACACACACACACACACACACACACACACACCCTAATTCAGAACCTGGGCACACAGTGAGTGCTCAATATGCAGACATAATATCTAGTTAGCTAACATTAAGCCATTACTGAGACCCAGGGCTAATCCAAAGGTGTCATGTTTACCTTGTTCCCCAGGTTACCATTGGCTTGTCTGGAGAGTAGCAGAGCCACCATCTCTGCATGACCCTCCTGGGCAGCCAGGTGAAGAGGTGTCATGCCTTGCGCCGACTCTGCATTAGCTGACGCCCCATACTGCAGCAGACTGCGGGCTACTTCCATCTGGTTCTGCTTGGCAGCGATATGCAAAGGGGTGCAGCCATTCTGAAACAGAAGAATGGTTACAGGAATGCTGAGTTGTCAATGTAAGTGCTCGCCTTAAATTTTAAATCCTCCGAAGGATGGCTAGGCCTGGTTGTTGGCCTGCTGGACACCCACTGAGCAGGGCTGGTGTCACCCAGGGCAGCTTAAGTAAACAAACGAATCTCATCTGTGTGATTTGGAGAGCCCACCCTCGCCCTCGCCCAAGCCAGCAAAGGTCCTGTACCTTTTCTCACCATCTATTTTCTGTTATCACGCTCTGACAAACTGCTGTGCAGGAAATGCTGCCACCAATAGATGCTAGGATACAATTAGGCCTATAGCACAACTAGAAAGCTAGGTAAGTAAGAAAATAAAAGTTTCCCACTTCCTTCTTCCTGTATTAAGAACCAACCCTCCAACATTCATAAAGGAAAAGGAATAGAGCCCTTCTTCTTTCCAAGTGCAGTTGGGCCAAGTGTCCCCCTAGGGTCACCAGCTTTAAGCAGGCGGGATAAGAAGACATGCACCTGGTGAGGGACTTGGGGATGAGGAGTCAGTCTGCTTCACTCCATCTAGCCGTGCGATGGGGGTAAGATATTCAGCAACCGCTAGACTTTGTTTTGTACTTTTTAAGCCACTAAAAGTGGACAATAACACCTACCTTGTTCTTAAAGTCGTTGAACAGATCAAATACAATAATGGGAAGGTGCTTTCCAAAGTTAAGGTATAAAAGTAATAAACCTTTGTATAGTTTGCAGCACACTGGTTTAAAAGATGTTTTAAGTCCACAGTGAGATGGAGCTGGCCTCAGAGTACATCAGCCATGTCACTACACACTGTTATTCATCTGGCTTTTCTTCTATCTTTTATTTTTGGTAGGAAGAATTTCTCAATGAAGGAAGCAGTACATGGGTTTATATTCTGTAGGAAGCTCCTTATCCCACTGCAGACAGGTAACAGTGATTTTGGTCATCACTGTTAGAAAACACTTTCACCTACATTATCCCTTTTGAGCTTCACTACAACCATGAACAGCAAATAAGGCAGGCATTTTTATTATTACCCCACTTTGTGGATAAAAAAGCCAATTCTCTGAGAGGCTAAGTGCCTCATTTACTGTCACATAGTAAATGAATAACAGATGACCCAAGTCTGGCTGTCTGACTCCAGATCCCAGGTTCTATCAGCTGGAGCAGTGCTTCTCAAACTTCAGTGTGTCTAAAATCACTTGGGATCTTGTTAAAATGTGATGCTGACTCAGAAGGCCTAGGGAGGCCAAAGATTTTGCATTTCTAACAAGCTCCCATGTAAGGCTGATGCTGCTGGTCCAGGAACCCGCCTTTAAATAGCCAGGTCCAGAGCATCTCGGGCTAAAGGGGATGCCAGGCCTGTGGACCTCTGAGCAGGACCCATGACTTTCTAAGCACATGACCACCCAGCCCCAGAGCAGATGGCATAAGGCATATGGTTCTCCCTCACTGGCCAGCATTCTTCTGGCTGTCCCAGAGAACTGAGTCTCCTCTGCCAGCCATTGTCTTACTGGGGAAACCATCGTTTCTGATTCTGCCTGGATCACTGATCAGGAAGAGGAAAAGAGAGAAAAGGGGCTGACTAATATGGTAAAAATCCCAGTTTTATAGCACTGGGGCACAGGGAAAGATCTATCTGTAAAGTAAATTTTACGGGGAAATGAAAAATTGCAATTTACCCAAAGAATTAAAATGAATTTAAAAATCATTCCCTTTAGATAATTATGTAAGATAATTCATTTGTGTGTTTCTCCTTTTTAATTTGATTATGTTATGAGAAAACATTAAATCTTCTTTGTAGATTGTATTCCCATAGCAAGATCAGTATTTTGATTATAACAAAATTAATTAAACAAAATGATTTTCATACTCTATCAAAACAGAGCAAAGAAAAGAGGGTGGTCCAGTGGATCCAGCCTGAGACTTGGAGCCATCCCTAAACGGAGCTCATCCTCTCTAAATGAGCACTGGGGCATGTCTACTTCTCAGTGCAGCTGTTAGGATAAAATGGGAGGAGGCAGCTGAACAAAAACAATCACCGTGAGGACTTCTTTTAATGTCAAAGGACAGTAGTAATTCAAGCAATTTGACGTATATTCATGGAAGTGTAATCAGTAGTCCCGGGCCATTTGGGCAGCTGTGGATGTCCACAATGGCAAGGATAACACCCTTTCCTGCCAAAGGGCAAGCTGGCCCTGGAGGTGACTTGGGCTGCCAGACGACCCTGGTTAAAGCCCAGATACAAGAAGAACTGTCCATCTCAGGACAGGAACTGCTCTCTGAGCTTCCCTCAAACCAGGACACAAGGGAATGAATGACCATCTGTTGGTGACAAAGACAAGGAGCAGGGAGGCAAGAGGGTCAAGGAGAGGTTAGGGAGGGCTAGGTGCCAGTAAAAGTCTCTGCTTTCCCGAGGAAATGAGCTCATCCAAAGGCATGTTTCTGGAGAGAGATCTGCTTGAAACAACATTAGCATCAAAATTAGAAAGGGGAGGGTTTGGTTTGGGTGCAGAAGGATTTGCATGTGAAATTCTACAAAATTGCCAGACGACTTGGTAAACTATTTTTTGCCATGGAAACAAAACCCATCTGTACAGCATTTGTGCTTGGATAAAACTCTCTTTAAATACCATGGACCTGGCTCCGACTTCTTTTATATAAGGAGGGGTACGAGGAGGAGAGGAGTCCAGTTTTTTATTTTTAGAGGCAGGAGTAAGTCACATCTAAGCAGGGCCACATGTTCCATCTACACAATGACGTGGGCTTTGCTACAACAGTGTCAGGGACAGGAGCCCAAGGAGATAGGGGCGTCTGGGAGACACTGTGTCTGCAGAAAAGTGAGGCTGTAAAATTCAGATGAGCATCCATTCTGAGGAGGGAAGACAAGCTGAAGGCTGGTGCTGATTTTTCCCTGACTTGGCTGCATCCCCATGAAGTCAGCAGGTGTCAGCTGGAACCACACATCCACCTACCCTGACGACTGCCTCTATAGAGGCAGCACTCAGACCCCTGTGGCCTGGCTGAGCACTGGGGTTGGCTCTCCCAGAAATTATCCTGTTTCTTCTGAATCTTGGCTGCCCTGTCAGATAGTGAGCTCCCGAGGGCAGTGACTGCCTGTGTCCTCGTATCCAAGCCCTGCTCCCCCTCCAGACCCCTCCCCTCTGCAGGTGGTCACCAGCCCCACGGTGCCCTTCCCCTCCCACAGGGGGCAGCCTATCCTCCAAAATGACCTTCTATCCACTTTATCCCTACACCTTATATCACCTCCCCCCTCCCCAGTGTGGCCTTACATAAGCAAGCCTCGTCAGCTCCTTTTCCTCTAGTTCCCTTAAGATGCAATGCACCTGCTGCTCTGAGCAGTACATTTCAGAGACTGTGTAAGGCCACTACGCTGGACATTTGTCTGCAGTGTAATGTACATGGGTATGCCTTGCTAAAAAACACCACGATCCAAAAGTCTGAACTCATCAGAAAAATAGATTTGGGGGTGACTAGTCACATTCCAAATAGGTTCTTTCCTTCAAGGTTCTGACAAGTTCACTCCCGGCCCTGAATATTTCTCAATGTGTGGTCATTGTGTTGAATCCGAGGACGAGACTGACCACTCGTGGAGACTCCTGCTCATGCTGACCTTGGACAGCCAGTGGACAAAACTCAGCTGGCATGCAGTGGTTTGGGGAACACATTTGTGTAAAAAGAATCCACCTCTGTGAGATAACGTATTGCTAAGAAGTGTTAACCACTTCCTGCCCCACTCCTGGTCCCCCAATTATACTGCAGATAACATTTGTGAAAGTGAGGTGAGATTTCTGAGGTAAAAATAAAAAATAAAACACAGAAGCCCTTCGGCTGCTTCTGCAAGAGCCCGCCCTGAAGGCGTGGTGGGCAACCTTGCTCTCCAGGAGCCGTGAGACTCTCTGTCTGGTGCTCCTGGTGTGTGGGCCAGGGCAGGCTTACCCAGTCAGGGCTGTGTGGGGAGCCACCCCGGGGAAGCAGCAGCTTGACGATGTCCAGGTGGTTGTGATGAACGGCCACGTACAGGGGAGTAAAGCCATTCTGCAGGAGGGTGAGACCGACAAAGAGAACAGCCTTCACTCAGTTGATTTTCTGTTAGCTGTGGGCAGCACCATTCTGAGATGTGCGTCATCTCTTTTATACAGGTAAAACCTGATTGAAATTCATTCCAAAACCAATCTTGATCAAAGTCACTAAGGAGTATAACCAGCCGGACCCAGGGCCACCTCCTAATTTCTGAGAGGCCCGATGAGAGCATGATCAGCACATTCGCTCAGAACAGGCCACCAGAACTTTCTAGAAAGTCAAGGCCGTTGTCAGAAAAACGAGTCTTCCCAAAGGCCACTCTCTCTGGATGGCTGCCCATGCAAAAAATTGACAAAATAGGCTCAAACAAGAGATATCGTTCTTAATACGTAAAGTTTATCTTTTGTTCTAGCTTCTAATTTAAGAAAGGTAGAGAAGTTCAAGCTCACTTTTCCGGCAGCATTTGGATGTGCGTCCCGTTCCAGCAGCAGCTCTGCCACCCTAACCTTCCCATACTTGGCCGCCACATGGAGAGGGGTAAATCCTTTCTGAGGAGAAACACAGGCTGTCAGAACCATGCGGAGCCATGACTACCCTCCATGGAGAAAGGGCCCATGGCAAAGGAGGTGTCTCATCTTAACGGACATGGAGATGCCTATCAAATAAAGGACACAGAATTTCTTATCCCTCCGAGAGGCCAAGGCCTCAGGAATCGGCAGGCTTCCTCTATCACCTGCCACCCACACCTCTCACGAGGAGTGTAAAACCACCTCATGTTGTGATTCAGCCGCCAGCTAGTTGAGGGCAGGGTTGAGTCTTAATCTTTTCTGTATTCCAGAACCTGTCTGATTTGTCTAGAGCAGGTGCTGAGCAAGTAGCTATTCTGTAATAAATGGATGAAGGCTGGGTGGGTGAATGAGAAACTACAGTTCACCACTTTTCTGGGGCAGGACAATGACACCTCAGGCTCACAGATGGCGGCCGGTCCTGTGTGTGCTGGCCGCCCACACCCCTCCCCTGCCCCACCGCCCCCAGCTGCTTACAGCACAAATGAGGCAACACAGAGGAACGACCCTGCCACAACTCAGGCCCAGCAGTGATTAGCCTGCCCTAGTCACTGCTAGAGAACAGGAGGAGGAAGTCTGTACCTTGGTCATGCACGCCTGAGAGGCTTCCTTTTCCAAAAGGGCCAGGGCCGTTTCCACATGACCCTCTCGGGCTGCAATGTGCAGGGGGGTGTGCCCGGCAGTGGTGGCCAGGTTGGGGTTGGCGTTATTTTCTAGCAGGAGCTTCACCATGTTCGTGTGGCCAACGCGGGCTGCACAGTGAAGTGGGGTCTGGTCATCCTGGAACCGGAAGTGAAAATGAAGAACAGGGAACACTAAATTTACCTAATCCAAAGCTTCATTTTACAAAGAAAGAAAACAGAGGTTAAGTGACTTTCTCAAAGTCACACAGCCGCAAGATGAAGAGATGAGTTACAGAAACCAATATGCTGTCTGTTATTTAATCCTTACAATAACCCTTCGAGTTAGTTGTTATTTCTACTTAGCTGCCGAAAGACGCGTTCTTACCATCTGTGAAATGAGAATAACAATGTCGAGCTCCTGGGACTATAGTTAGGACCAAACAGTTAGGGTATATAAGACGTTGCACATGGTGTTTGGTATGTGACAGGCACTCAATAAATTGTGGTGACTACTGTCTCTCAAGTCACGTCTAAGTGGACACTTGTCTTTCTGTTTGACACTACTTTGGTATTCTGCATGCCAGGGGTCATGAGAGAGTCTAACCTGCCAAAGAGGAAAGATGACTTTTTAATCCTACCCTGCCCCTTTCTGTTTATGCAGAAAGAGTTCCGTGGGTGAAGTCTTCGTGTTATTGGGCCCAGCTGGGTGCCTCCCTCATGTGGCCCAAACACAAACCAGAGTCCTAACTCTAAACAGAGCCTCTGTCACCTGTGGGCTAAGAAAGCCTGATCATGGCCAAAGCCAGTCAACTTGCTAACTCAGCAGGTATTCTTATTCTTCATTCACTCAATCCCTCCAAAATGCCTTTTACAACAAGGGGGAACCATCTATTTTTAGATCAAGTTATTCCTTACTTATTTTCACTGGCAACGCTTTCTTCAAAAAGTTGCTTCTCCTCTTATACCGTGACTGTAACCACCATGAAACCCTTTCAGCTCAATAAATACTGCAGACCAGATGATGGACTTTCATCATCCTAAAGAACATAGTTTGGATGCAAAAACGTCTCTAGCCTTATCAGAACCCTGGAAAGCAGAATCTGAGCGTTTAGTGTAACGGACACAGAACGACCAGGAATCTCTGTGCCAACAGCACTGCAGCCAGGCCTCTAATTAGGGTGGATTTCTCCTCACTGCACTTGAATCGTTTACATCCCAGGGTCCTCCCGCCTCCAGAATGCACCTTAGCTTTGGCATTGACTTTGGCTTTGTTCTGGAGCAAATATTTGGCCACTTCCGTGTGCCCTGCTCTGGCAGCCATGTGCAGCGGGGTCTCCACTTTCTGTAAAATAACAAAATTATAGAAGTGTTAATACATGCTGGGTTTCCAAAAACACACACGCAGAGCTCCAAAGTGTGAGCCGAGAAATGCTTGACAGGTTTTCGTCCAAGAGGTGGAGTTGCCCCAGCAAACAGCTCCTTCAGCCTTTAGCCTGCTGATATCTGGGGTGTGTGTGTGTGTGTGTGTGTGTTCTAAGTATACTCACAAGTAAACCCCAGAGCTAACAAAAAATGCAAATGTATTTCAAGATAACACTTACAGAAGTTTCCAAATTATTGTCCAAAATAAAATCCCTGAGACTTACAGATGTGTGAGAGGTTTAATTCGGAAACCTTCAGTATGTAGGGCTGTTCTCCCTTAGTCTGAAGCCTCTGCTATTCTGAGAATTCTACCTCTATTCCCAGAGAGGAGATCTAAGGATCACTGGCTAAAGCATCCCTCTGAGCTCTCGGTGCTGAGAGAAGAGCCCTTGCTCTCTCCGTGGGCTTACCACACTGGAGACATTGGGTGATGCCCGCCGCTGCAGGAGGTTCTTCACGATGGGCAGGTGCCCCATGAAGGAGGCCACGTGGAGAGGTGTCAGGCCAGACTGAAACAGACAAGACAGGAATGAGGAGAGAGGAGACTTTACTGCTCTTCCAAAGAAGAGACAGCTAGATATTGCTAAAGCTTTCTTGCCTCTAGCTGCTCTACACTGGTTTTCCAAAAAAAAGGGAGTAAATGAGATGGGTTCATTTTCAGGAAAATGGCTGGAGGGAAAAAAAAATCACTGTGGGGTGATTCGGCCCATTTTACAACTTAAAAAATTACATCTGATCTCGAAAAGCTCCCTGAGACTTGACCTATCTTTTCTCATTTTAGTTACCCCTGAGTTATTTCTCCAAGCAATCTAGACATGCTCACGCACGTGCGAGCACACACACGCACACACACACATACCTGCAGCCACACGTAGCTACAAAGAACAACTCTCAAGAAGGCTACTGGAGGAAGACCATGGTGGGGAAGGAACCATCCACTCGTCTGCAGAGTTTCTCTTACCTCGGTGACAGCGTCAATGGAGGCTCCTGTCTTCAGCAGCAGCTCCATGACACGAATATGGTTCTTCTTGCAGGCGATGTGTAAGGGGGTGAAACCATTCTGCAGCCCCACACAAAGGGAGAGAGACAAGCAGGAGCTTACATACTAGCCCAAGGAGCACCCCGACCACCTTGCTGATTAAAAGGCAGCCTCAGGGAGGCCCACAGACCAGACTGTCAATTACTACAAATCACCTGAGTGGTAGGTGCCACTCACCTTATACACCAGGCACATTCCTGAGCATGTTGTCTATAAACCTTTTTAAAATTTTTAATACTATTTTTGGATGCACTAAAAGAGTCTACTGTTTAAAGTTTCCTTAAGGAGAAATTTTTAATAAAGAGTACTTTTGTGAAGTAAATCATGTTCCTTCTTCCCGAAACTGACGATCATTTTTAGTAAAATGGATTTCTGTACATCACCTCTGCTCTAAAGTGATATACTGAAATGTAAACTCCATAAAGGCAGGGATATTTGTTTGCTTGGTTTTGTCTGTTTGCTTGTTATTTTTTTTGTTTCTTTTTTTTTCAGTGTTTTATCCCACTAAGGTAGTGGGGCGGGGAGGCGTTTTTTTTCAGTGTTTTATCCCACTAAGGTAGTGGTTCTCAAAGTGTGGGGGGGGGGAGGGGATTTTTGCCACCCCATCCCACCTTTGGGACATTTGGCAATGTCTGGAGACATTTTTGATCGTCACAACTAGAGGAGTGCTATTAGCATCTAGCAGGTAGAGGCCAGGGATGCTGCTAAATGACCTACAGTGCACAGGCCGCCCCCCTGCAACAAAAAAATATCAGGCCCCAAATGTCCATAGTGCTGAGATTGAGTGACTCCGACTACCCTGGAACAGTGCTTGGCATGTGGTAAAGCTTGATGAGAGCTTTCTGGATGAATGAATGAGCAATCCTTGTAGTCCCTAGAGGCTATCCTACTTTCTAAATTCTCCTACCCTGAGAATGAGCAGAGGGGAAAGGGTGGTCATGGGCAGGCTCTGTGCAGAGTTCTGGCCCCACCAGATCCCTGAACTGATCTGGGAGCCCCTGGCCAAGGAGGGAGGGGAAGGAACCATCCCCCAGGAGGGCATTAGCTTTCGGCCTAAACTCACATCTACATGAGCACCATGAAAACTGTAAGCCCCCTTGCAGAGGAAGAATGCTTAGCTCAGGCCATTTCACTTGCCCCCAAAGCAGATTTAAAAAGCCGGGCAGTCTCTAAGAAATCACCCTCAGCCCCAGGCCTGGCTCAGATGTAATGGCACCCCCAACCTACACACATACCATGAACACTGTTTCTTCAGTCAGGCCTCTTGGGCCGAAGCCCTCCCCTGACCTCAGCCTGTTACCAGTGATCACAGTCAGTAGGTATAAGAGGTGACATTGTGTGGCAGGGACTGTGAAGGTTGCCACCCTGTCTGTGTACTGACATGACTGATACTTTCCAGTCCCTGAGTCTCAGGAGTAGTTCCAGGTGCCAGCTGGTGTCCCTCCCAAGAGGCTTAGCCGTGCAGCTCTGATCCTGTCTCACTTGGCCCTTGCCCCTCTCACCTTCTTCGATAGCCTCCCACTCACCAGGGCTCTGGAGTTTGGTTTGGCCCCTTTATCCAAAAGGACCTTGGCCACTCTGTGATGGCCACAGTGGGCTGCCACGTGGAGTGGGGTCAGGTGATCCAAGGTGATGTCATCTATCTCTGCATTGTATTGCAATAGAAGTCGGACACAGTCAAGGTGGTCTCCCTGAGCCGCCATGTGAATTGGGGACAAGCCGTTCTGGATGAAGAAGGAAAAACAAGTAATCACAAAGGCTTCTGGGGACAGGACACGACAATCTAGGGCAATGATTTCCCTCACTTT